GTGATAGAACATCCAGATTATTTGCAAAGTCCAGAGCATCCGGCTACGTTCGAGCCGTCCATTGTACATCTACTTCCCCTGAGATGTTGGTGTCTTCATAATCCGGTCAACCACCGGGAGAAAGAGAAAAGGTGAGGTTAAGCAACTTTGAGTTTGTATGAAACAAACAGAAAACTGATGAAATGTGACAAATAAGTTGAGAGACTTCATTCTAATCGAAGTGATGTTATATACCTGTCAGGCTATTAAGTGCGATGCTTTTAATTGCTGTTTATTATCATTTGTCTAATTATTATTGATAGTTTTCGGAAACTGGATAAAACACATGCCTAATTATACTCCAAATGTAACTAGTTTTTGAAAGATGAGTTAAAGGTAGATGATAGAAACTGATGTACTATATATTTATTTCTCAATGTGAACAGCTAATGATATGAAATACTTTATACCTATGCTCTCTAACTCACTACATCATAGTTAGAGATGTTAACAGTAAGCTAATTGGACTTAGATCGACTCCTGTACGACTGAAATGCTTATATCTGCTTGGTCACTGAGTAGAAACCAGTGTCATATTTTTGCAGCCCTTCTCAGCGCCGATGAACTTTTATCGATCACGTTGGATTATGGCCACTAAGCTAAGCAAAGGGGCACACAACATCACACAAGTTTAATAAGTCCTTCTTCGAGATACCGGAAAACTCAACGAATTCAAGATAGCCCTCACCAATAGATTCCAGGCCTTGCACGATATACTTAATGGAGAGGAAGCAACATTGGAGAACAATTGGAAAGAGATCAAGGAGGTAATCACTTCAACATGTCGGGAGGTCCTCGGTCGCAAGAAGTACCATCAAAAGGAATAGGTCTCTGTTGATACTCTTGTAAAAATTGAAGAAAGGAGGAACAAGAAGGCAGCAATCAAGCTGCATACACAGAAGCAAACAGGGAAGTGAAGAAGAGCATCAGAGCTGACAAACGAAAATATGTGGAAGATATAGCAATGACGGCGGAAAAGGCTGCAGGAGACGGAAACTTGAGACAATTGTACGAAACAACAAAGAAGCTGGTCGCGAACTATCGTAAACCAGAACGACCAGTGAAAAGCAAGGAAGGCAAAGTAATCAGCAACACTGAAAAACAGCGAAATAGGTGGGTAGAGCACTTTAAGGAACTATTGAATCGACCAGCTCCACTGAACCCACCCAACATCAAAGCAGCAGCCACAGACCTCCCAATTAATACTGGCGCACCTACAATTGAGGAGATCAGTATGGCCATCGGACAAATCGAAAGCGGCAACTCAGCAGAGGCAATGAAGGGAGATGTAGAAGCAACTGCGAAACTATCTCACAACCTCTTCAAGAAGATTTGGGATGAGGAACAAGTACCATCAGTTAGAAAGAAGGATACCTGATCAAAATACCAAAGAAAGGCGATCTCAGCAAGTGTGAAAACTACACAGGCATCACTCTTCTTTCAATACCAGGCAAAGTCTTCAACAGGGTATTGTTAAACAGAATGAAGGACTTCGTAGACGCCCAACTTTGAGATCAACAGGCCGGATTTCGTAAGGATCGATCGTGTACTGACCAAATTGCTACATTACGGATCATTGTGTAACAATCAATTGAATTGAACTCACCACTGTACATCAACTTCATCGACTACGAGAAAGCATTTGACAGCGTGGATAGGAAAACACTATGGAGGCTTCTTCGACACTACGGTGTGCCTGAGAAAATAGTCAACATCATACGGAATTCTTATGATGGATTCAACTGCAAAATCGTGCACGGAGGTCAGCTGACAGACTCTTTTGAGGTAAAGACCGGTGTGAGGCAAGGTTGCTTACTCTCACCCTTTCTCTTTCTCCTGGTGATCGACTGGATTATGAAGACGTCAACATCTGGAAGGAAGCACGGTATCAACTGGACAGTTAGGACGCAGCTGGACGATCTGGACTTCGCAGATGACCTGGCTCTTCTATCGCACACTCAACAACAAATGCAAGAGAAGACGACCAGTGTAGCAGCAGCCTCTGCAGCAACAGTAGGTCTCAACATACATAAAGGAAAAAGCAAAATTCTCCGATGCAACACAACATGCACCAACCGAATCACTCTTGATGGAGATACCTTGGAGGACGTTAACACCTTCACATATCTTGGCAGCATCATTGACGAGAAAGGTGGATCCGATGCAGATGTGAGGGCGCGGATTGGCAAAGCAAGGGCTGCATTTCTACAGTTGAAAAATATCTGGAACTCCAAACAACTTTCAACCAAAACCAAAATCAGCATTTTCAATACAAATGTGAAGACAGTTCTACTGTATGGAGCGGAAACATGGAGAACTACGAAAGCCATCATCCAGAAGATACAAGTGTTTATTAACAGTTGTCTACGCAAAATACTTCGGATTCTTTGGCCAGACACGATCAGTAACAACTTACTGTGGGAGAGAACAAACCAGATTGCAGCGGAGTTGGAAATCAAGAAGAAGCGGTGGAAGTGGATAGGACACACACTACGAAAAGCATCGAACGGCGTGACGTGACAAGCCCACACTTGGAACCCCCAAGGTCGAAGGAAAAGAGAAAGGCCCAGGAACACATTACGCCGAGAAATAGAGAGAGATATGAGAAGAATGAACAAAAATTGGACAGAACTGGAAAGGGAAGCCGAGAACAGAGTTGGTTGGAGAAAACTGGTGGGCGGCCTGTGCTCCTTTGGGGGTAACAGGCGAAAGTAAGTAAGTAAGTAACTAATTATGTTTTATATCGGAACCTTATTTAAAATCAAAATACTGCATTCCACAAATGCGTTTAGATGGATACATTGTGTTGAATAAACATTATTCCTCTGGTAAGTTATTGATTGATCGCCGTAATAAATCAGCACTAGTGTTTTACAGATATTTCGAGTTTTTCTATAAGCTTTCATTTGTTACTTGTCATCTTTATTTGCAGTTAAGAATAACAGAAAAGTGTTTGTTTTATGGATGAAGATCTCTCTGTTTGTCAATACGCTTACATCAGTTGTTGGTATTGGATGAAAAGGTAGAGAGTTTCATTTGTCTAAGATCATAGAAATATCGCATGTCAGCAGACAAGTATTTGGTTTTAATCTAATAAACTTTTATATGCCTCTTCATACGAGAAAAAATGAGGCAATTTCAGGTGGAAAATCACTATAAAGTAGATTGAGGATTGTTATCAATTCACCTTGTATCCGTATGTATTATAAACCAAATGTTTAGTTACTGTATCGTTGAAATTTCGAAGTAATCTATTGTTTTATTTGAATCAGTCAAGGTTAGACCATCATGTGGAAACGTGGAAGCACTGAACAACCGCTGATGAGTCCCATATGAGGACGAAATGGCCGTTCAGTGTTTCCAGGTTTCCAAATGGTGGTCTTACATTGATTGACTCTTGTTTTCAATAATATACAACAATCTCCATAACTCCATCATGAAAAATGATTTTATTTTAGGCTAAAGCTGACTGTACATAGATATACACAACCGTTTTATTGAAAAAATACTATCGAAATGTATAATTCATTGAGTTATGAATGTGTTTTTTTCAATTAAAATAAAATAATTTACCTCTCAGCTTTATTCTTTTTAAAGTAGTGAATTTTGTTAATTATGGTACAATAAAATACGTGTTTTAAAAATCTAATGATCATTCTAAACTAATTTCGTGTACCGGTCAAAAGTCCGACGGTATTTTTTCGCATTATTTCAATATTGAACTATTGAAACATTGAATTGTCCTTATAAATTGAATGAAAAGAAATTATATTTACTTGTCGGCAGTATATATTGAGTTTAGTTGTACACTATACAATAGAAGAAGAATGTTTTAATTTAGTGTCATGGTGAAATTCTGTTATTGTAGTATATGAAAAGATTAACGTTAAAAAAGCAAAAAAACGATATATATATATATATATATATATATATATATATATATATATATATATATCTGAATGGGTAGAGAAATATAAACTTTCTGATATTTCGTGTTAGTTACTTCTTCACAGACTATTTAAACAAAATGAATTTAACCCAATTTAAAATTGTACAACGGAACAAAAGCAAAAAAAAAAATATCTAGTACAAAAAACTAGTTTATTTTTTTTTTCAAAAAAAAGGTAAAAAAGAAAACAGGTCTGATAGAATTAACTGATTGAGTTTTGGAAATGATTTTACTTTTTTTTTCGTTGTACTACTTATAAACTACTTGGCTTATTGAACAATCCACCTAATATTTAATTTAATTTAATTTATTTTAAAATGAACAAAAGTTAAACCTTAATAATATTGTAACTTAACTGATTATTTAAATATTATTTGGTTATTTTAGTGAAATTGTTTCACATAGTTATATTTTTATCTGATGATTGTATTTTGAAGTATGTGTAACGATTTAGCATGACATGAAAGTTTTATTATTATAGTTGTGGTACTTTGTAAACTAATTCATTTAAATAATTGAAGTACCCAGTATCTTACAAATGATAATCACAATAAGCCTTAAGTATGGTTTTTGTTTTTTTAAAAAACTTTACCGAAACAAGAGGTAACCTACAATTTTTTTTCTCTTACCCGTTACTGATAAAATCAAAGTATTGACGAAGGGATATATATATATATATATATATATATATATATATATATATATATATATAAACCGAAAAATAAAGCCTATACACAGAACAAGTTTCTTCACTAAGCCAATTCACATGAATTTGTATACGAACTGGACAGAATTCACATCACCTTGGGATACAATAATTGATTGTATCCTAGTCAATCAAGGCAATCCAAATGCTAGTCAAACATTATGTATTGCTTCAACAGCGTTTGGTATATTAATGGGTTATATATTTCCATTTATTGGATAATTTGATGTATTGAGTAATTGTATTGTTGCTTTCATATTTTTATGGTCACTTGTTTATTATAATAAACAATTTATCCTTTTAGGTATGTTAGCTATAGCAGATATTGGAGTTGTTATTTGTATTGGTTGGATTTCATTGTTTCCAGCATACGGTTTACCATTTGCTTCATCTGGAACTATATATTATTTTACATTGACAAGATCAACTATCAGTTGTAAATTGTCAATATTTTTTCAAACATTTTTTTGTACATTACGTGGTAATATATTTATTGTCTTAGCAGTAGATCGTTTTGTTTTAATACATAAACCATTAATTTATAATAAACTTTCAAAATATTTTAATTGTTACATTTTATTCATTGTAATTTTAATTACATTAGCTATGACATTACCATTCGGTATATTGATTGAATTAAACACAGTCCGTAAATTGTCGGCATGTTGGTTTGTCCGTGGGAAACCTTATATCCCTATTCATCAAACTTTATTTTCAAATACATGTCCAATACAATTATCACTTGTAACATTGTTTGATTCATTCTTTGTTTTGAAAGTTATTCAATGGAAACGTAAACTACAACAAGTTAGTAGTACATCATCATCATCATCGGCATCAGAAGTGAATATTTCATTTATTATTACTATGCTTATAGTACAAATTGTAGCATTTCTATTCTCATTACCTAGTAGTATAACATATCTTATTGCATTAGTAATCAATTTTGAAAATGCTAGTTCAGAATATGTACGTTTATTAATATTAATTATTAATATGGCATGGAATATGATATTTCTCCAGTCTTCATTAAATATTTTCATTTATTATTATCGTATTCGAAAATTTCGTCAAATATTACAACATTATTTACAATGTCATTGTGATTTAAAATCAATTAGTCAAACTAATTCAATTATTACGACTGGATATAATTGACATTAGTTCATGATTTGTTTGAATTGATATATTTTTAAAAGATTATGGCGGGAAAGACAGGTAATTAGAATATTTATTCAATGTTCAATTTATTGTTGTAACTAATTGTACACTTATGTTATATGTTATATAATCTAACATGATTTAAATGATTATTTATGATAGTGTGTTAGTGAATTTCATATTGATTTTTTTTGATCATGTTCTTTTTTGTTTAAATGAGTGAATTGAATTTATGCATCGTTTTAAATATACACTTAGTTCTAGAATATTCTTGCTTCCATTCAATGTTCAATAATAATACAATAATATTATTTAGCATTATATGATTGATACAGTAATTTGATTTTAAGATAAAGTTCAGGAAAATATAACATCATTTTCTTGTTTCATTTCTATTGCAAGATATAAATGACCATAGTGTAGTGAAGGAGAACACAGGTGAGGGCAACCGAATTGTATTTATCGCAAATTATAGAGTTACTCAGTAAAATCGGAAAACCATATTGTAAACGGTTTATTTAGCAAATCTTCAATCCATCATCAATCGATTGTCTGACATTTCACCACTGTTCATGCATTTCATACAAATTCCATTGTGTTCTTCTAACTCTTCCTTTCTTTTGATCTTCCCTCATCTGCTGCTGCCAGACATTACGTTTTCACTCGAGTCATATACTACTTATAAGTGGCGCGCACAACAATAGCAATCGAAAATCTTACTTACGAAGATTTCTAATTCATTTTACTATATTTCAACAACATATAAATCTAATCACTTATTTCAAAAAATTAAAGAGGTATAATAAGGATTTTGAACTGTTTTCAGTCTCGCGAATAAATGTTTGGAGACATTTTTATCATCGAAATGATGTACTATGAAACAACTAGTTTAGTTTTAATCTGATTGCTATTTGAAGAAAAAAACGACATGAAAGTTTATCAATCATTTTAATAAACATGGTTAAATGTTCAATGACATATACAAGACAGTTTAATCATTATTTCTAGGAAAGTAAAACAGTGGAAAAGAACAGAAATTTTTGATTTCAATAGCATTCACAACCACTGGCTTATACAGAGAGAGATTCACTTAATGTATACACCTTTCTCATCAGTGATTGGTTAGAATTTTGAAAATGATTACCAACAACGCGATAATACAATGCCTTATTAGTAAAATCGACAATATTGTAAGAATCATCAAAAATATTTTAGGTAATTCAGTTTCTCTTTAGATATTTTCGTGTGAAGTCCAAGTTTAGTTATTGTGTTTTGATAAGACTTTCAAATTATTTGATTAAAAATCAATCCTCGGTAACATTTTAGTAAGTGTGAAATTAGCTTCTAAAGGTGTTTGTTATGTAATATATGTTGTATTCGTCACTTGATATGCTTGAAACTATTACGAATTCACCGTAGTTGATAAACGAGAAAGAGACAGTGAACCAGTGACATGGTGGGCGACTCTAATCCGTTGACCCAAAGGAACTAACAAAAAAGTCTTGATATAGCGTAGAACGTGTATTCTGCAAACACCCAGCAAACAATGATCTCAAGCATACAAATCGCGTTTGTTTATACATCATAGAGACGTCCTTGGGAGAGTCACAAAAATAGCACACTAAAAGAACACAGCAACCAATCACAGCCATAGGTTTTCCTGGTGGGAGATGTGATCTCAAGGTCAAGAGATCAGCCCGTGAATAAAATCCAAAATTAAGACATTTATCAAGAGAGTTCTGGGGATCTAACATCCTCAACAATATAGTTCCTTAAAAAGTAAACTCTTTTTATTCAATTTATTAGTCTAAAAATTTGATTTTTATTAAAGGTAATTCTGTTATCACTCACAAAGGTGAGCA